TAGGTGAACATGATTTGTTGGAGAAGAGACAACACGGCTTTTGTAAAGGGAAATCATGCCTCACTAATCTATTCAAATTCTTTGAGGGGGATCAACAAATACGTGGACAAGGGTAATCCAGTGGATATAGTGTACTTGGACTTTCAGGAAAATGTTGTAAGGTCCCTCATCAAAGGCTCTTAAACAAAGTAAACTGTCGTGGGATAAGAGGGAAGGTCCTCTTATGGGTCACAAAATTGAAAACAAAGAGTGGGAATAAATGATCAGTTTTCAGAATGGAGAGAGGTAAATAGCAGTGCCTCCAAGGATCTGTACTGGGACCAGTGCTGATCCACATATTCATAAATTATCTGGTAAAGGGGGTAAACAGTGAGGTTACAAAGTTTGCAGATGATACAAAACTACTCAAGATAGTTAAGTCCAAAGCAATCTGCAAAGAGTTACAAAGGACAATCATAAAACTAGGTGAGTGGGCAACAAATTGGCAGTTGAAATTCAGTACTGATAAATGCAAAGTAATGCACATTGGAAAACATCATCTCAACTATACGTATAAAATGGTGGGGGGTAAATTAGCTGTTATCACTCAAGAAAGATCTTGGAGTCATTGAGGATAGTTCTCTGAAAACATCCACTCAATGTGCAATGGCAGTCAAAAAGGCTAAGAGAATGTTTTGAACCATTAGGAAAAGGATAGATAATAAAATAGAAAATATCATAATGCCTCTATATAAATCCAGTGTATGCCCACACTTTGAATATTGTGTGCAGTTCGGTCACCCTGTTGCAATATATATATACAAACACAGTATTAGAAATGGAAAAGGTACAGAGAAGGGCAACCAAAATAATTAGGGAGAGATTAAAAAGATGGACTTTCAGCTTGAAAAAGTGGGTTAAGAGGGGATATGATAAGAGGTCTGTCAAGGTTCCTCCCCCACTCTGAACTCTAGGGTACAGATGTGGGGACCTGCATGAAAAAACCCCCTAAGCTTATCTTTACCAGCTTAGGTCAAAACTTCCCCAAGGTACAAAATATTACACCCGTTATCCTTGGAATGGCCGCTACCACCACCAAACTAATACTGGTTACTGGGGAAGAGCTGTTTGGACGCGTCTTTCCCCCCAAAATACTTCCCCAAAACCTTGCACCCCACTTCCTGGACAAGGTTTGGTAAAAAGCCTCACCAATTTGCCTAGGTGACTACAGACCCAGACCCTTGGATCTTAAGAACAATGAACAATCCTCCCAACACTTGCACCCCCCCCTCTCCTGGGAAATGTTGGATAAAAAGCCTCACCAATTTGCATAGGTGACCACAGACCCAAACCCTTGGATCTGAGAACAATGAAAAAGCATTCAGTTTTTTTAAAAGAAGACTTTTAATAAAAAATAGCAGTAAATAGAAATAAAGAAATCCCCCCTGTAAAATCAGGATGGTAGATATCTTACAGGGTAATTAGATTCAAAACATAGAGAACCCCTCTAGGCAAAACCTTAAGTTACAAAAAAAGTACACAGACAGAAATAGTTATTCTATTCAGCACAATTCTTTTCTCAGCCATTTAAAGAAATCATAATCTAACACATACCTAGCTAGATTACTTACTAAAAGTTCTAAGACTCCATTCCTGTTCTGTCTCTGGCAAGAGCAGCATACAGACAGACACAGACCCTTTGTTCCTCTCCCTGCTCCCAGCTTTTGAAAGTATCTTGTCTCCTCATTGGTCATTTTGGTCAGGTGCCAGCGAGGTTACCTTTAGCTTCTTAACCCTTTACAGGTGAGAGGAGCTTTCCCCTGGCCAGGAGGGATTTCAAAGGGGTTTACCCTTCCCTTTATATTTATGACAAGGTCTATAAAATCTTCACTGATGTGGAGAAAGTAAATAGGGAAATGTTATTTACTCCTTCATATAACACAAGAACTTGGGTTCAACCAATGAAATTAATAGACAATAGGTTTAAAACAAAAAAAAAAGAGGAAGTAGTTCTTCACACAACACACAGTCAACCTGAGGAACTGGCTGGCAGGGGAGGTTGTGAAGACCAAAATTAAAACAGGGTTCATAAAAGAACTAGATAAGTTCATGAAAGATAGGTCCATCAAATAGCTATTAGCCAGGATGGGCAGGGATGCAACACCATGCTCTGGGTTTCTGTAACCTCTGTTTGCCAGATGCTGGGAATGGACAATAGAATGGATCACTCAATAATTGCCTATTCTGTTCATTCTCTCTGGAGCACCTGGCACGGGCCACTGTCAGAAGACAGGATACGGGGCTAGATGGACTATTGGTCTGCCCCAGTATGAACACGAGGTACATATGTTCTTGTGTACCTCAAGTCACAGAGGCTTGCATTTTTAGGGCTAATGGTCTTAAGTTTGATTCCCGCTAATGAATGTAATGTCTGTATGTATGCAAGCCTGGGGGAACAAATAAGGATTATGGAAATGTCTCCATTAACATAATGTCAGAGTGAGGATTATAGGATATGGCCCTAAAACAGCAACAATCCAAGAGGACATTTGGAACTGTGCAGCCACAATCTCTGAGACAAGGTGAGTGAGGTAATATCTTTTATTGGACCAGCTTCTGTTGGTGTGAGAGAGAAATTGATCCAATAAAAGCTATTACCTCACTCACCTTATCTCGCTAATATCCTGGGACTGACACGGCTACAACTACATTACACACTGTCTCTAAGAGGTAACTTCTCTTTATGATGTGCCTTCCATGTCAACAGAAATGTCTTTAATAACAAATACAAAGTGCAGCTGATCTGAGACAGTGCAAACTGTTTCAAATGGGCTGATGACACTCACTTCTCTTTCTCCTACGAAGACAAAGGAACCGAGTACTTTGGACTTTGTGGGAGATCCCGACCAACGGGGTGATCATCTATCTTGCTAGAAGGTAGCGTGGTAAGAATTTTACTTTGAACCAAGACTGTAATTTTGTTAAGTCTTAGCCTATATAAAGCATTTTTCACTCTGATTTTCTTGTAACCATTTCCAACTCTATCCTTCATACCTGGACTCACTTAAAATCCTATCTCCTTTTGTTAATCAAACAACTTGTTTTACTTTTAATCAAAACCAACCCAGTGCTGTGTGTGAATTCAGGTGATAGCTAACTCCAGTTGAAGTGATAAGCTGTGCATTTTCTCTTTTTAAAGAAGCAAACAAACCCTTTTATCCCCCTGAATGGTCCAGGAAAGGGCTGGACATTACAGAGCACATGGTTTTGGGAAAATTCAGGACTGGAGATTGTTGGGGTCATCTTGCCAAGTGTAACCAAGGCTGGTGGAGGCCAGAGTGTGGCTGGGGTGTAACAAGCAGGCTGCTGGAATCAGAATGCTGAACCAGAGCTGCAAAGCACACAGACACTCAGGATACGGCATGCTTGTCTGCTGGCTATTGATGTCCGGGCTGTGAGCCACAGCAGCAGAGCATTTAAGGCACCCAGGGTTACACGGCTGATGGTGACACAACACCTCAATGACCTCGATTGCACCACAGTATGTAACATGCATCATGAGACTTATTATCAAACTGCAAGAGTTGCTAATAATAAATATGCCTGGCTGCATTGTCAACTTGCACTGGGCCTGAATCATGCATTTAGGTGGCATTGGAACAATTCACAAACAGCACAGACAAATTCAAGGGGAAACAGAGTTCTGGATCTCAACTTTATTCTGTGCGCCCATCTCTAATCTGCCTGATCAACATTAAAAATACACGTTCCTGGCTCTAAAATTCATTTGTGCCTGTATTTTTCTTGATGGGTAAATGGAAATTGCTTGTTATTTGATTTCACCAGCAATAAAAAAAAACTACAGCTCGTTAGTTTTGCCCTACCCTAGCAGTTATAGACAGTGATGAGCCAGGCTACATCTTGGCTTTGCAACTTGCACTTTGTACACACTGTCGTCCAATAAACAGTCACAAAAGTCTTGAAAACCACAGTGTGTGTGTGTATGCCTGCACATGTCACAAGCTATTTGACTCACACAATTCACCTGTAGAATATCATCTCTGAATACACATACAAACCGTACACTGCAGGTATATGTTCTATGTCCTCATTAGCACTGCATCTGCCAGGTGCCACCACCACAGAAAGAGAGGCTGGAGCTTTCAGAAACATCTTGTTTTGAATCTCAAAATAAAATCTACAGCCTTTTGGGTTACTAGTAAATTTGAAGAAATAGCCAACTGCTGAGTGAAAGATAATGCAAAATCTGAACATGTCTGTAGTATGTAATTAAGCCATGCCCCACCTTATATATATTTAAGAGGGATTGTATGTATGCGTAATACCGATTTGGACCACCTGGGTTCTGATTCTCAGTGACCCTTATGTGGAGAATTAGTAGACTGGTAGCTGAGAAACAGGTGGCCTTCAGCTGGATTGGCAGTCACATCAGACACCGTGTTTCACAGGGGCCGTGACTCTGGAAGGTGTGTCTACTATCAGGAGAAGACATTTAGCCACAACCCTCTAAGGGTGAATACCCAAAGTACAAGGTATTAGTCAAAACACAAATTTTCCACCCCTATGCAGAGTGAGGAATGGAAAGGGGAAGGCAAAGTGACGAAGATGACCTGGGGAAAGAGGCGGAGAAGAGATGAGGCAGCTAGTATGCTGTCTCTCTGGCGAGAGGTATAAAAACAGAAGTATTTGCCTAGGTGTCAGTACAGCCAGGGCCAGCCCTAGAATACAGTGGAACAGCTCCAGTGTCATCAACATTCTCTGCTGTGTCAAGCCTTTGTAAGCAAGGCAGTGTTAGGTCAAGGGTATCACAGTGGAAGATGACACTAGAGACGTGGTGTGAACTAAAGGAATTGCCCACACACAGCCTATATTGCTTGTTCCACAGTTTACTGGGTCACTGGTGTCTGTACGCTCTCCTCCAGCCATTTACAACACAGATTCCCCAGAAAGAAATGACCCTCACCTCCACTCTTTGCCCGCTCCCTGTTCTTGTTTCTTACCTTGCACAATCAAATAAACCTGGGAAGTCCTGGGGTGATGCTGTGTCTGCACTGAGCATGTATAGGACCCCTCATCATAGACGTCCACTTTCTGGATCCGGAGGCTGTATTCCAGAGGGGTTCGTTTCTCCAGTTCTACCCGAGGGTCCAGGGACCACTTGTCCTGTCCAGCAAAAATGATGCCAGAACGGTTTAACCAGGCCACTTTGGAGCTTCTGTCTTCTACATAACACCTGTTGAGGGTGAGAACAGAGATTGGGGTATCAGCTAAGACTCCACTTTGGCTCCTTCCTCTTTCCGGCATTCCATGGGATTCTGCAACATGATCCAGGCCTGCCAACAGTCTCACAGCATCAGCATCACCACCACTTATTACATCAGCCACATTACTAAAGTGCTTTATAAATATGAAATGATCACGGCACAAAGGAGATGTGAGGCGGCATGAGTTGCCTGGGCCCTGCTATCTCTTTCCTTTCGTCGGGGCTTTTCACACCCAAAGGGGCATTCTGAGGACCTCTAGGGCTTGCATCCTGGCCTCCAGCTTCCCTTTGATCCTGTCAGTGGTATAGGGCAGACGGAGCTGAAGACTGTTGAGCTCTTCTTCACGTGCCGCCCCCCCCAAAGACTGAGTATACAACAGACTCAATATTCCCAGTCCCCTTTCAGCCTGGGGGTGGTGAGAGGTCAGAACTGAGAATTGGGTTTGTTGTGCAGAGAACAGCTACTGCATCATGTGATCTACCTCCTCCATCCCCCAACTTTTGTGCCCCCAGGGTTATATTCCACCTGCTCCCTTACACCACCCTGACGGAAAAGGCTTTGTGGAAAACTAGATGTCCCCCTCATGCAGATATATATGCCATGGATGTGTGCATGTGTGCTATACCAATGATAGAGAAAGCCTGCAGGGACATCACTGTCACCCCCCATGACAATTGCTGTGTGTCCTTATAATGCCAGGTGGCAGGTGAGCAAGTGAGGGGAGGGTGGAGGGCAGGTGGGTATGGTACACAGAGGCACGACAGTATTGGCTCACCACCTGTCATGGCCCTAGTCCCAGCTGCCAATAGCAGCAGGGGTCTGCAGGAGGGAGGACGGATTGACAGCCCTTGCAGCTACATCACTTAGATTTCATTATTTTATCGATGGTAGATGAGCCATCACAGTCAAACCCAGCTTTAGCTGAGGCACTGGCTCTGTACAAATACCCATCTCAACCCTCTGACCATATGAAAGAAACAGATGGAGAGCATGTACTGATGATCAGTCTCAGCTGAGACTGAATGGGATCTAGGGACTGAACTCCCCTCTCTTTCCTCGCAGGGATCCCCTCCAGGGCAGAGCTGAGCAGTGGTGCTGTAAAAATCGTTCCAGTGGGGGTGATGAAAGCCAGTGGTCCCCAAACTTTTTGCCTTGCACCCCCCTTATCCCTGTCCATGCCCCCCCATCCCCTACAGCTGGCTCCAGGCCTGGGGGGGGAAGCAGACAGGGGTTAGGGTGCTGAGGCTGAGACCACAGCTGGGGGTGGGAGCAGAACCCCAGGTGCGGGTCTTGTAGTCGGTACCTCAGGTGCGGGGCTAGGAACAGAGCCCTGAGTGCGGGGCTGGTGGCAGCCAGTACCCTAGGTGCGGGGCCAGGAACAGAGCCTTGGCTGCAGGTCCTGCAGCCGGGGCCCCACATGCGGATCCTGGACTGAGCTGCCACTTCAGCTTTTGAGAGGAAAAGTCCTCTTTCCAAAATCACCGGTCAACTTGCATGTTAGAGGGAGCAGGTTTATAGCTGTAAGACACTTCAACTTTCCATATATGTTGAAAATAAAGTTCTTAAAGCACAACGAATAGTGAAAGGACAGCCGAGGCCCCTCATCTAGACCCTGTATAAGTCATCTTGTAGGTTCCACTATCTCCGAATTTAACAGGAAACCTCTATATAGTGGTAGGGAATGGAGGCACTCTGATAGCTCAAGTCTGGGAGTGGAGCCCCAGGCATGGGTCCAGTAGGGGCACGGGGCCGGGACCCCGCACAAAAACTGAGAGGTGCTGTACACCCCCCACACTCCTAGTTCCCGCGACTATGGGGCTAAGACACACATGGATGAAGCAATGGGTGGACGCTTGCCCTGAAGCTACCCAGGCTGTGCCCGTTCTGTGGACATATAAAGGAGTTCAATCTCCGAGGCTGTCACACCACCACCTGTCACGGCTCCACCCCTGTCTGTGGGAATTCAAAGAGGCCAGCACTTCTCATCAGCACTATTCACACAAATGTTGTACTGAAGAGAGAAAGAGAGAGGCTGAAGATTGTTGCCGAATGATAAGACAAATATTTGACAGTAGGTTTTCAAACAGCCTCTTAGGAAGGATCAGACATTTTCCAAGTTCCTCCACTTGAACGCGGTTCATTCAGATTATGCTGAGGCGGCCGTTCACAGCTATGTGACTCCACCCATATCCAGCACTCCTCCCTAGCAAACATGCCCACAGAAGCTTTGTGAGTTGTTCTAGGGTCAGTTCCAGGCAGTAGGAATGCCATGCTGTGTGGCGATACCATGCTACTGGTTAAGCTAGGAGCTTGACTAACATTTGCCTGGAGGGTGCAGCCCAAAGACTCCAGCCTGTGTAACTGATTTCCAGCTAAGAGAGGCCAGCGAGGCTTCACTCGCCCAAGTCCGAGCTGGTTCTTCTGTTCGGATGCACGTTTGCCCTGAGGTGAGTTTTCAGCTGGAATTGTTTTTCTTTTAAAATTTGCCTCTTCACTAAGAAAGAGGGCCAGGGAGAGGAATCACTCTGGCGTCACTTGCGTTTAGCAATCTGGGCAGTGGATCAGGCAGCTTCGAAGCACGCAATGTCAATGAATGGTGCCACCTCAGACTGTAATTCTAGTAACAGGAGCAGAAAGCAACCATCTGAGGAAGGCGCTGAGACTGAGAGCTGGTAACACATCACACTATTAGTGACCCTCTGCCCATCTCTAATGCCTTTCACCCGAGGATCTCAAAATGCTGCACTCACATTCATGAAAGTCGCCTTCCTATCCAGTGGTGCAATAAATCAGTATTATTACCACAGAGAGGCTAAGGGCCAGAGTTGCCTAATTTGGTGCCTAAAGCTGCAGATGGGCACCTAATGGGATTTTCAAAAGCACCTGTGTAGGTGAATGCTGACAGTGAAGACAATGGGAGTTAGGTGCCTACGTCACTTAGGTGCTTTTGAAAATCCCACTGTTCCTAGCTGCATCTGTAGGCACCACGGGTGCGACCCACAAACTCCAGAGTTAGACACCTAAGTTCCTGTGCCTGGCACCACTGTGATTCTGAAACTCCCACTTGGCTGCTGCTTAACTGTGTAGGCACCTAAACTCATTTAGAGCCTAACTTTGCTCTGTTAAAATTCCCTGGGTGCCTAAATTTTAGATCCTGGGACATGCACACTGTTGCCTCCCTCTAGGTGTCTGGACCTCAGAACAATTCATGAACTGAAGGAAGATAGGCATTCAGCTGCCGAAATCGCGTGCAGGCCTTAATCCCATAAACATGGTCAGAGGCTTAAATAGTCACTGGGCCATGGAGTGAGAGAGAAACTGACTCTGTAGCCTGGCGACTGGGGCACCCACCCTCCAGTCGCTCTTTCATTAATTATCCACCGGGAAACAGCTTCAACAGGAGAGACTGAGGGAGCTCTACATATGAATATCCCAGAGCTCTGAGAGGTGGGAGACCCTTGTACAAATCCTTTCTCCCCCTGTGGCAGAGAGGGGGGGATTAATCCTGGGTCTCCCACATCCCAGTTGTGGGCTCTACCTACTGAGATACAAATTATGAGGTGGGCACCAGCACCACCATCGGTCATCTTGTGTGGAGCAAGGCAGGCACCTAACTCATTCCCGCAAGAACCAGTTTAGGTGCTTAAGACACCTGACTGCAGGCGGCTGGTTCCTGTTCAGGGATCGATAGCACAGACAGGTGCTCCTGCAACCGGGACATATGTACCTATCTCCTTGAGGGGGCGGGACCTACAACAAACTCTTCTAGTCGACATCTCCCATTAGCTAGCTTAGGCAGCTCCCCACCTAGCACACTGGCTTTTGTGGATTATATTTTTAGGCCCCTCTCTCCCCCCACTGTATAAGGACCCTATGCACCTAACTCAGCTTTGTGGATTACAGTGTTGTCCATGTGATTTTCTAGGTTCTTCCAAGTTTGGTTCTGTGACACTCAGCATCGCAGCACGAAAGTCCTTTTCCCAAAATCTGGCCCTAGGTGACTTCCCCAGCATCAAACTGCTGATCAGTAGCCAAGCCAGGAGTAAAACCCAAGTCTCCTAACTTCCAGGGATAAGCTTTAACCATGAGGCCATCCTTGCTTCCCTAATGCCTCTTAACTTCTTCACCAGTGTAGGATGTTCAGCCCTACCCCAATGTTTAGCTTTATCTTCCAAGGCTTGCTACCACTGGAAGGATATGTATACTGCCCTTTAATTGCCACAGCAGCCATTCCACCACAAGGTGACACCCCAGACTAGTGACAGAAGACTGAGCAGCAGTGAGGGAGGAGTGAGTATGTTCCACAAATCCATTCCAGGGGAGTACAGGCTTGGTCCCAGGTGAGCACAGAATGCACCGTGGCTTTTACCTGTCACTGAAGACAAACGTCTTCAGCCAAGCAAGGGCAGCTAGACAGCTAGGTCCAGCCATGTGTTAAGGAAGAACAGAACAAACTTGCCAGCTGCCATAAGAAATGCTGCCCCTGGGAAATTAAAATTTGTATGTCACAGCATATCCTGCACTGGTGACACCCAGGGGTCAGATCATCAGTGGAGCACAGTGGTCAAGGCAGGTCACTTGCTTGGTTCTAATAACCTTGCAGGCTCCCCTGTAATGGACAGTGCTAACAAAATTTAAGAAAAAGAGAGAGAGAGAAATGGGATGAGTAAGTGAAATGGATTTGAGCTACTCTCTCTGGTGTACCTGTTCCTCTAAAACTGTCAGAGAAAATCCATGTACCAATGTGGAAATTCCAAGTCCTGGTTCTCTCAGAACATATATCAAAGTAGGTTAGGTATCCTGGTGCATGCATACACATGCACCTATCTATCTGCTGTATAGATCATCCAGCCTTATTGAGTACACATTAATAAGGATTTATGTGACGATGCTCAGAGTGTCAGAAGTGTTAATTCAATACTAATAGAATATTAACTGGCATATTAACTAATATTTGAACAGCAATTGC